GAGTTCATATTGAAAATCTGTGATTTCAATCCACTTGTTCATTCTAGCCTTTTCTCATGCTTCATTTGCTCTATATTAAAATACACAAAAGGTAATTGCAGAATTATTACTATGTACCTTTGTGACAAACCTAACAATTGTTTATAATTTCTTTTGCCTTTAATTTAGGCTATATTGCTAACAATACTATGTTCAAAATCGCCAACATTATTTCTCTCTTCCTTTCAGTGCACTTATGTTATATTCATTAAAAATATAGTCAAGTTGTTTTGTTTTTAACTCATTCCATTTTATTTATCTCTTCTCTCCATCTTTCTCTGTAGCTGCCCTATCCTTGATGATGGTAGTTAGACCCTATCTTAGTGGTGGTTATGTTAGACTTTAACAAGGTTCAGACAATCTAAATCTGGGACCAGAGTACAGCCGGTAGGACACTTACCTGGGACCATATGAGATGCAAGGAATCGAACCCGGGTTGGCTGTGTGCAAGGCAAACATTCTACCCACTGTGCTATTGCTCCAGCCCCTCAGCATGCCCCTTTTGTGGGGTGTTAGGAACTTATGTAACTGAGTCTTCACTTGATCACTTGCCTTCCCGTTAATCATCGATTTGCTCAAGCGGGCACCAGTAATGTCTCCATTTGTCCCTGTCGCGTGCTAGTGTAGCCCAATGGCGTTTGTTCGTTCTAGGAACACGAAGAGCCGCAAACCGATCGTTCAGGGTCTTGACGAAGAAGTCTGACCATCTGGTAGGTGGGCGGGCGGCCACGAGGTCTTTTGACATCCCGTGGAATTTAGTTGGTAACAGCTCTAGTCCAGCGGTTGTCTCCAAATCTCATTACGTGTCCAGCCCGTCTGATTTTCGAAGCCTTGGCAGAAGAGACAGCGTCCCTGATTCTTGACCATCGACGGAGGTGGTCGGAACTCTGGATTCTTTCTTTCATTTGAGTGAAACTTGATGCTCCAAGCATATGTCTTTCGATTCCTCTTTGAGAGACCTGAATAGCGTTCTCATCCTGTTTTCGTAGGGAACTGAGTCTTGAGTCAAGTAAAAATGATGGATGCTGAGGAGTAGATATTGTCAGAGCCAGTAAACTCCCTGACTAAGATGGCATTTACTGTCTTCCTTTGTCTATACAAAAAGGACATTTCTCTAAAATTAACTGTACAAAGAAAGAAAAGAGAAAAGTAGTATTTCACTGATATACAAAGTCCAGAGCCCTTGGAAGATTTGACTTTACAGGTTACAGTGTCTGATTTGGGGATATTTATGATAGATAAGGGAAGAAGGGCACAAAGAAGAGGTTAAAGATAAACACAGGATTGGGAGTGTCCTGATGGAATTGGGTGTGCCTCAGGAGCACTGTGGTGGGAGTAATTCAATAAACCTAAACTCCCTGTGGGAGGAATAAGGACAATCCAATGTTAAACCTAAAATGCTCAGAACTGTAATCTAATACCTGAGCAATGTTGAGTGTGGCCCCAAACCAAAAAAATCAAAGCCCTACTATAAAAATCTATACTTGGAAATTTTTACCTCTTTGTCTTCTTTCTGCATCTCTTCGTCCCTCTCATCTTATTCACGTCTGCCAGTAGGAAACTGGACCCAATCACATCTATCATTACCTGGAGCCAAGAACTGGGTCAGATACTCAAAGACTGAGCCATTTATTAACGCAGGATGTTTTGATTCATGCTTACTCTTGAAACTCCCCATCCTCATCCATTTGCCTATCTCCTTTGTCTTTCTTCTGTTGTATTTCTTAGTTTCACTAAGCAGCTATTTTTTCATTGACTACATTTTAAAAACAAAGTATCGATTTTATATTCAGTTTGTAATCTGTGTCACTCTTACCGATAATCTACACAAAATAATATTCACAGCTAGCTTAAACCACACAAGGTGACATTGGTTATTGATTAAATGTGATGGGAAAATCAAATTTTCCTCATCAAATTGAGTCCCCCGGGACAGATATACCTGGCAGAACTGCTATGACCGTGAAGGAAAAATCACGCAGGCAGTAAAGTCATGTCCAAAATTCTCATTCTAGTCTTTGTGACAAAATCAAAACTGACAGGGTGAAATTATCCTGGTGAAAATTGTTTTAGTGGAGCATAACTGAAAATGGAGAAATCGGAAAATATTTGTGCTATATAGAATGAGACTGATGTATTTTGTACCAGGAAATACAAAATACAGGAAGGAGGCAAGAGGCAGAGCCGGTGGGGCCACCAGGATGTGTTTCTAATCCCAAGGGCAGTCCTCTGGGGAACTGCTGACTAACCAGAAGTGGGGAGTGACATGAAGCTTCCATTTTTGGTTTTGTGGTTGTTTCTTTCTTTCTTTTTTTTTTTTTAGGACTACTTGCAGCAATGTGCAGGGGCTTTTCCTGGTGGTCTGTTCAGGAATCATTCCCAGCAGTGCTCAGGGATCGAACACACATCTCTTCACATATGAAACATGTGCCCAGCCTGTTGCGCTAATAGACCTGACCCAAGCTTGCTTTTGAAGGTGCCTCAGATTTGTGCTGTGAATGGAGTGGGCAAAGTATGCACAACAGGCTCCTTTCAAGTGAGGGCTGAGGAAGGTGCCAGATGATGGAACAGGCTATGGGAAGTTGGGAACAGGGACAGGGGTGGGCGGAAGTTATATCTCTTTGGGCTATTGGTGGTGGGAAATGGATGGGAAATTGGAGGCTTCCTAGTTGCTAGATAATTGGCTTTTGAGTTTGGCCTTGGTCAGAAATGTTATGAAAGACTACAAGGGTGGGGAGCAGTCTACACAAAAGTGTTGATGTGAACAGAGAAGAAGTTTCCCAGACGATGGAGAGAAAGAACTGAAAAAGAGTCTGAGATGTTTGAGAAGACATCCATTAAGAGAACTACTGTAGCAGATGAAATGATCCCTCTATCTCTTACTCCCCTTCCCTGCCATCCCTGACATTATATTTTGGGGAGTGGCTGTGTCTTCAGTCAGAACTCTTTTTGGGGAGAGGGTTGATTCACACTCTGTAGTGCTCAGGGTCTATTCCAGGCTATATGCAGTGTTGGGGATTGGTAAATCGGTAACAGAGCCAGCAGTATTCTATTCAAGTGCCTTACCTCTTGTACTCAGTCTCCAGCCTCTGCCGTTAGAATTCTTGCACACTGCTACTGGGAGAGTTAAAGAATGTAGCCATTTAAGAAAATTATTTTGCCATTTCTTATCAAGTTAAACATAAATTTAACCCAACCCTTCCATTCCTATTTACCCAAGAGAAGTAAAAACACATGTCCACACAAAGACTTGCACAGAAAGTTAACGGCAGCTTTATTAATATTAACTAAAGATTGAAAACAACCCACATGTCCATCAACAGGAAAATGGTAAAACAAATTATGATTTATCAGTGTGGTGGCATACTGCTCTGCAGAGAGTATACAGGCTGAGTATACAGTTTGTTTCAGATTGAGAAACAAACTACTGATTCAAGCCTCACAAACTAAGCTAAAGAAATCAAATCCAAAAACATATGGCATCCGATTCCAGTCATAAGAGTTGTAGAACATGGGAAAGTGGTGTGGTTAAAATAAGAACAGTGGCTGTCCCTGTTCTGTGTGGAAGTTATTGACTAGGAAAGGGATATGTGAGAACTTTCAGGGGTGAGGAAATGTTTTATATCTTAATGAAGACATGGGTTACACAATGTAAACATTCAGCAAAATTCATGAGACCTACATTTAGCATCTATGCGTTTTACTGTATGTAATATATACTTGTATGTGTGTGCATACACACACACACACACACACACACACACACACACATATATATATAAAGAATTTTTATTGCAGTCCAGGAAGATTGGAATTTGGAAAACTGGAAACTTGGAAGTGTTTTTGTCTTTAACTCACTTTTATTTTGTGATCACTAGCTTAAAGGGTTTTTTTTGTCTTCATACATATCAGCCTGCTTATCAGGGCACTCTCGTCCCTGCCAGCTGACTCAGGGCTCTCAAACCTCCTCTCCCTCTGTTTCCTTTCCCATAATGTGCTTGAGAATACTGAACCTTCCTGGGGTTCCTCAGATGATGAGGCCCTTAATCCAGGTGTTGGATCTCTGTGTTTGGAATCAGTTTCATTAGATTGGCAGGAATAGGGACCATCTGTCATGAGGTGGTGGGGGCTTTAGATCTCACCCTGACCAGTTTCAAGTCAGATGCCTACCATTATGTGGCCTTGAACCTGTTCCCCAGAGCCTCCGTTTTGTTTTCTGTAAACTGGGTATGTTTACACCTACCTTATGTAGTTTTATTTTTATTTTTATTTATTTTTGTGGTTTGTAACATGCCCACACGGCAGAGTCTGGCAAACTCCCCGTGGTATACCCAATATGCCAAATACCAGTAACAATGATGGGTCTCATTCTCCTAACCCTGAAAAAGCCTTGAATATGGCACTTTAAAAAAAAAAAATCTCAGGGCTAGGACGAAGAAGACATTACTGGCACCTGCTCGAGCAATCGACGAACAACAGGGTGGTCGTGATCGTGATTTGTGGTTTGGGGGCCACCCTCAGTAGAGCTTACTCCTGTGTTTGTGCTTAGTGATCATTCGTGGCAGGGCTTGGTGGACCAAATGAAGTGTCAGGGATTGAACGCAGGTCAGCTGCAAGCAAAGTGATAGCTTTTGCTCTGCCATTACTCCAGCCCCCATGCTGGTTTTAGGAGCTAAGTGAACCAGCTTGGGTAGAACATCCTTCTCTGTGTTAGCTTATGAGGTGAGGACAGGGTGCTAGGAGGCATGGCGGATGGGCACCTGGCTGTCTCATGTCTGGTTTCTGCACAACAGTGTTGCTCCCAGCCTAGTGCGTCATCCTCAGGCTTAGGCTGTCTGCTGCGCCTCTCGGTACAACACCTTTCCTCTACATTGTAGAGGATCTTGTTGAGAGCTGAGTTACAACACCCCCCGCCCCCCCACAAACAAACTAACTTCAGACAATTCTTCCTATGATTTAAGGGTATCAGCATGGAAGCCATGAGTGAGAACAAAATGGTGTCCTCTGATTTTGGCACAGGACCAGTGGAAAAAGCTGCAAAACCGTTGCCATTTAAGGACCCCAACTTTGTGGTAAGCATCTATTCATCAACCCATTTCGTGCCACCTCTTCCTCAGAGTGGGAGGGGAAGGTGGATGAGCCTTTCTATGGATGTCCTAGAACCAGGTCCCAAAGATTTTGGTTTAAATAAAAGTTTACTTTGAGAGTGGGTCATTTCCATGATATGCATTTTGCTTTCTTTATGTTGTAGATGATATTTGAAATAACTAAAGAGGAAAGTTTCCAGTTAGTTTAAGTAAATCTCAATGATTGTACTTTAAGTAGAAATTAAACTACTCTTTCTTCCTTTTATTCTCAAGAAAAATAATAAATTATAGCAATTCTAATTACCATAAAATGTTTATTTTTCATTAATTGGTTTTATTGCCAATGTCTGAGACAGATTTTGGTATTATTTTCCACTTTGTAACCTTCATAGTACAAAAAAGGAAGAAAAATAAGGTTTCCAGAAGGCTTGCCATGCCATGATTTAGACTTCCTTGGGTATTCTGGGATTACTTGCAGTTTATAAGGCAGAGATTTGCCTTCAAAAAGGAGTTTAAAGATAGGGTCATAGGTTACAATCTAACTTTGTAGTAAATTAATTTAATAGTTATGGGAAATTCTACAATTGAGTGATTTCTACAATGTTAGATCCAGGAAAGAGTGTGGAATTTTATGTGCATCTATAAAATAGCCTTTTATTTCCACTTCATGACCAACTAACTCAGGGTTTGACAATACAAAAGGTTTTTTTTTTTTTTAAAAAGAAAGTTAAAATGTGTAATACTTAAAAAGTCAGGAGTGCAAATGCTTGCTGACAGAATAAGTGGCATCTTACAGTTATGAATAAGCATAAATATAAACTTCTGAAGTGGCTGTCTCCACTGATTTTTTGTTCTTTCTGATCCATGCTTTTAATTCAAGCACTCTGGCCATGGTGGTGCAGTAGCTGGCAAGAAGAATAGAACCTGGAAGAACCTGAAACAAATCCTTGCTTCTGAAAGGGCATTGCCATGGCAACTGAACGATCCTAACTGTGAGCTCTGTGTTTATAATGTTCAAACCAAGCACTTTTTTTTAAATAAGCCTACATTGCTTTATTATGTTTGCATTATTATAGGAAACTTTTTAGCTTGGGAATTTTATAGTGACATCAATATGGGGAGTTTATGTGTGCTTTGCAAGTGTGTCTTTGTTGAGTCTGCTTATTGTCATGGATGTGGGCTTTTCAGTATCTTTTAACATTTTAATTTGGAGAAATATTCGTGTTTCTGTTAGATAAACATTTTTGGTTTTGGCCACACCGGTTGTACTCAGGGCTTACTCGTGGCTCCGTACTCAGGAATCACACTTGACGGTGCTCAGAGCACCCATTCAGTGTGCTGGGAACCTAACCTGAGACAGCCACTCACAAGGCAAATGCCCTGCTAGCTGTATTATCACTCTACCCCCAGCCCCTTTTTTAAAATTAGGGGTCGCTTTGGCCTTTGGGGCCATGCCTGTCATCCTCTAACCCAGCCATGCTTGGGAGTCACCAGGGCTACAGCTGGAGGGTCTGGGCAGGGGCAGGGAGGGCATACAGTGCCAGGGATTTAACACATGCTGTGCATAAGCTCTACTTCTTGAGTTTTGTCCCTGGCCTCATTTTATAGGAGTCACACCAAGCAGTACTTTGAGACCCTGGACCATACCACGCAGGGGGATGTGTGGTGCCAGGGATTGAGTTCAGGGCCTCACAATTGCTAGATATCTGCTTTACCACCTGAGTCATATCCCCAGCTCAGGAAAGAAAAAAGAAAAGAAAAGAAAAGAAAAGAAAAAGGTTTGTTTTTGTCTTGAGGCCACACCTGGAAATGCTCAGGGCTTATTCCTGACTGCACTTAGGAGATGGTGGGGCTTGGGAGACTATATGTGGTGCTGGGGATCGAACCCGGGGTCCTTTGCGTATAAAGCAAGTACCCTACCTTCTATACTATCACTTCAGTCCCTTACTTCTTATTAAAAAGTTTGCTTTTCAGTTTTGTTTCCAAGACAAGATTTCCTAAGATTTAGGAGGGTTTCTGAAAATCAACTTAAATGCCAACTGTTTTATTCTGAACTAGTGCTTTTTAGAGTAAGTGCTTCATGCTTTTTTTTTTTACAAATAATTAATTTGTATATGATTATACAAAGAATTGTATTATACAAATATATTATGTGTTCTGTTCAGCTTCATTAGAAAGGAGAGGTTCAGAGCTTTCACCATTTCCTTTCCCACTGTACACCTTTTATGGGTGACTCAGACGGTGACATATGAACCAAAGAGTTCTGGGTGTGGGCATTCTTGTAACTCGAAGCGGAGATGTAATTAATTGCTTGTTTGACATCTCATCACCGTCAGCCCAAGCAGCCTGAGCCCAGAGTAACTTGTGGGCAAATGAGGTTTCTGGTGGTTCTGCAGGGGCAGGGAGCCCCTAGGGAGAGGGCAGAGCCGGATCTGGGGCTGCTTGCTCTGGAGCATGTGCATCATTTCCCCAGAGAAGCCTGAGGATTTAACCACCAAGTAAAATTTCGGGAATACTGTCAGTCTTTTAGATAAGGAGGAAAAGGCATTTGAATGTTTTAAAGCCAGCTAAGTTCTGTACTTTTCTTTTTTCCTCCCCCCTTCCCCTCCAGACTTTAGTATTGATGCACCGCCATCCTTTAAACCAGCCAAGAAGTATTCTGATGTTTCAGGTCTCCTTGTGAGTATAACTGTGTCTTTATCTTCTAACGTGGAATTGAAAAAAATTTCTCAGCAATGTCTATTTAGGACGGTGTGGGATGTTTGTTACCACTGATCCTTCTGGAACCTGTATATGATGAGTTGGGTTTGTGTTGGCACTTTACAGCGTTTGACCCATATGTGCCTGCTACCTGGGTATCTATCCATCTAGGCCCTTCCGGGGAGGATTGCTCCAGCAGGTTGGGATCCGAGTATCCTTTCCCCATCCTTTGCTTGTCAATCACATGAAATAACATGAAAGAAAGGACTCTTTCTCTGTTGACATTGTCCTGTAGGTGTATTTGAAGGTGTATTTGAAACATTTTTAAAATTTTCTCTAAAATGGTACTATGGTAAAGGTAGTGCTTTTGAAACCTACTTTTAAGCATTGAAACCTTTTCCCGGGCTGGAGTGATAGTACAGTGGGTAGGATGTTTGCCTTGCATGCAGCTGATTTGGGTTCAATTTCCAGCATTCCATATGGTCCCCTGAGCACCGGCAGGAGTAAGTCCTGAGCAAAGCCAGGAGTAACCCCTGTTCATCGCCTGTTGTGAACCAAAAAAGCTTAAAAAAAAAAATTTTTTTTCCAGTGAAAAATTTTATAAAATTTCTGAGTTCAACTAACTTCTCTCTAACCCCCCTATGGTCTGGTCCTCTGGCCTATTTAGTGCTTTCTATAATGAGCTCCAAAGTGCTTCTGGGGAGCAGTTTCAAAACCACTAGCATAGCTGGGCCCGAAGGCTGTGAACTGGCATGCATGCCCTGTTTTCTTCTCTTCAGAGTGGAAAAGAAATATGGACCCTGTAAAGACCCTTTCAGCTCGCCTTACTCTTGTTTCATCATTAGTAAATTTTATAGATGAACTTTTTCTTCTGTCTTTAGAGATTGTGCATCACTTCACTTTTATTTTTATTTATTTATTTTTTGCTTTTTGGGTCACACCTGGTGATGCACAGGGATTAGTCCTGGCTCTGCACTCAGGAGTTACTCCTGGTAGTGCTCGGGGGACCATATGGGATGCTTGGAACCGAACCTGGGTCGGCCGCGTGCAAGGCAAGTGCTCTACCCGCTGTGCTATCACTCCAACCCCATCATCTCACTTTTAAAAATTCATATACACCCATTAAATGCTTCATATCTGTATGAAAATTGATGTCCCCAATATCTGTAACAAAAAATGATCAAGAAAAACACTTATTTTTTACATTGAGGAAATTTGAGCTCTTATATATATTTTTAAATAATACTAGTTACACTCTCCAAATTAGTTGTATGTTTTGTTTTTTTCCTACAGGGAGCACACACTGATTTAGAATTTACCACAAAATTTTTTACATAGACCCGTAAGTTCATGAGTTAAAGTGATGCTGAACTACAACAAGGCAGGTGGGAAAAGCTCAATGAAATGAGGGGCCTGGAATATGGCTTAAGAGGATGAGGACCTTGAGTCCATTCCTCACACCACCTGACCTCTCAGCACCATTGGGTATGGCCCTGGGTGACTCCCCAGCACTGCACCCAACCTGAGCACTGAGTCATCAGGCCTACACAAATAGAACCAATGTCATGGTGGGTGGTCCCTGGAGCCTCAGAGCAAAGTACTATTGGGCATGGCCTCTATAAAAATAGTGTTTTGTAAAGATACTTGTGCAGGGGCCAGAATGATAGTACAGCTGGTCGGGAGCTGGCCTTTCACATGGTCAACCTGAGTTCAATCCTCGATACCCCATATGATCCCTGCAGGCACCACCAAGAGTAATTCCAGGCCCTAAGCGCTGAGCCAGGAGTAAGCCCTAAGCATTGCTGGGTGTGGCTTAAAAACAAAAAAAAAAAGGCACTTGTGAGACTCCATTTTCTTTTACCTCCTTCAGAATTTGTACCATGCCTCTGTAAATGCTGTCTTCTTTTATCACAGTCAGCAGTCCGTGCTAAATTCCCGTCCCCTGGGTGGTTTTTCTTTAACATTTGCCTGTGGTAAAGCTCATTCTGTGATTAACAATTCTGTGGGTTTTTCAAAATATGCAGTCATGTATCTTACCACCATAGTGCTATACAGAACTAGTCAATCACTCTAAAAATGTTGTTGTATAGCCGCTTTACAGACTACCTCATCCCAAGCACCTAATAGTCACAGACTTGGTTTTTGCCCCTGTATTTTTACCATTTTCAAAATGTATTGGTTTATTTTGTTTTGTTTTGTTTTGTTTTTGTTTTTTCTTTTTGGGTCACACCCAGCGATGTTCAGGGGTTTCTCCTGGTTCTGCACTCAGGACTTATTCCTGGCAGTGCTTGGGGGACCATATGGGATGCTGGGAATCGAACCCAGGTTGGCCGCGTGCAAGGCAAATGCCCTACCTGATATGCTATCGCTCCCGCCCCTCAAAATGTGGTATTAAGACAATCATTCCATGTGTAGCCGTTGGGGGCTTTCACTTAGAAAAACATATTCAAGATTAGTTTGTGCTGTTTATGAATCAATTGTTCCCTTATTATTAATGTTTTTGTTTATGTTAATGTTGTTAATGTATTATTCCATTTTATAATTTGCCACATTTTATTCACTCACTTGTAGAAAGACATCTGGGTTATTACCAGTTTGGGGTGAGTTTGATAAAGCTCTGCTATAAACCTCTTATACAAGTTTTTTTTCTGAACATAAGTTCTTAATTCATTTGGGTAAATTCCTCAGTATGAGATTTCTGGGTCATAGGGTGAGTATACCTTTGACTTGGAGGAATCGAAAATGCCCTCTCAATGTGCTGCACCATTTTCCATTGCCACCGGCAATGAATAACAGTTTGTTTCTCTGCTTCCTTGCCAGCCTTTAATGTTGTGGTTTTCTGGTTTTCCCCTTTTAATAGGTATGCAGTGGTATTTCCCTGTTTTATTTTATATTCATGCTTTTTACTACACTTATTGAGATGGTTATATGAGATTTCTTAGTTTGTCTGTTAAAAAGCAGAATTATTTTGAGTGAATTTAGATGATTAGTCATTGCATTCCTGGGATAAACCCCCAGGGTGATATCATATTATCCTTTTTGTATGTTGCTGGACTTGATTTTCTAATATCTTGTTGCAGACTTTATATCAGTGGTCATAGATATTGACTGCCAATTTATTTTATTTAAAAAATTATAATGTTTGAATTTTGCAATAATAAAATGCTGGCTCATATGATGGTCTGGGAAACGTTCCCTCCTCTTTGCTTATGATAAGATATTTGGGGGAATTCTTCAGTGCATTGTTCAGACCAAGAGTTTTCTTTTTTTGAAAGGTTAAAATATGGTCAGTTTTGGGGCTGGAGCAATAGCACAGCAGGTAGGGCGTTTGCCTTGCATGCGGCCAACCTGGGTTTGATTCCCAGCACCCCATATGGTCCCCCAAGCACTGCCAGGAGTGATTCCTGAGTGCAGAGCCAGGAGTAACCCCTGAGCATCAGCTGGGTGTGACCCAAAGAGCAAAAAAAAAAAAAGGCAGTTTCTTTAAGCACTCTAATAATACTATGTTATCTATTTCTTCTGATTGAGCTTCAGTCATTTGTATCTTTCTGGGAATTCATTTCCAGCTGTTGAACTTCTGAGTAGAGAACTATTTGGGGTATTTTCCTATTATTTGCATTCTCTAAGGATTAGTAGTAATGCACTACCTTAATTTTATTATTTTTCTTTGGGGGTCACACCTGGTGAAGCTCGGGCTACTCCTGTGCTGCAGGGGTGGGGGGCAGAAGTTGGGACGTATTTGTATAGGGGATCAACCATGGTCAGCCAGGAGTAGCCCTTAATATGCAAGGTAAGTGCCTTAATCCCTATAATAAAGCTAAGGGTTTTACCTTTTCAAAGAGAGAACTTTCTATTTTACTGATTTTTATGCTTTTGTTTTTGTTTTTTGTTTAGGGGCCACAAAGGTCAGTGTCTGACTTAATTTTGGCTCTGTGCTCACTTCTGGTAGTGCATGTGGGACCATATGGATTGTCGGGGATTAAACCCAGATCAGCCACATGCAAGACAAGTACCCTGCCTACTCTCTAGTCTCCATTTGTTTTCTTTTTCTTTTTGGTTTTTGGGTCACATTCAAGGTGCTCTGGAGTTACTGAGTGCTTGGAATGATTTCCAAGTGCTCAGAGGACCATGCGGTACCAGGCATCAATCCTGGGTGTCTAACTTGCAAAGTATATTCTCCAGCCTATTGGGCTCTTTTTCTAGCTCCAGTTTTACTTTTTATGTCTTTGTTGTTTTCTTCTTTTGCTTCCTTTATTTAAATTTACTTTTCTTTATCTACTTTGGTAATGTACAAACTTAGGTTACTTAAAGTTATCACTTCCTTTCTTTTGTAAAATTGTTTTAATTATAACACCATAATTTACCAAGTTCTTCCTAATACGGACTGGAGCGATAGCACAGTGGTAGGACGTTTGCCTTGCATGCAGCCAGCCCAGCCAAGCTGGGTTCGATTCCTCCACCCCTCTCGGAGAGCCCGGCAAGCTACTGAGAATATCTCACCTCCGTGGCAAAGCCTGGCAAGATGCCCGTGGAGTATTCGATATGCCAAACACAGTAACAACAAAGTCTCACAATGGAGACGTTACTGGGTCCGCTCAAGCAAACCGACGAACAATGGGAGGACAGCACTACAGTTCCTAATAGAGTTGTTTCGGCATAAAGTGTTCCAACACCAATTTCACCACCATTGTGACCATTCTTCCACCAATAACTCCAGTTTCCACTATCCAGGCCTGCCTTCTTGCAAGCACAAATAAATGTTCTTCATATTGTTTCTTATAATACAAAGGCAAATCAAGACTTGTACCAATAGGAGTCAATTTGTGATAATTGTTATATCTCACAATGATCTTATTAAAGTCATTGTATGAGGATCTATTGAGCTGGTGAATGCTTAGTTGATCCTTCTGTGTAATTGTTTAGACTCACTGAGATTGGTGGTATTCTATGCAACTTTCTAATCTCATTTGCTGTGATCC